CTTATGTGTAGTAATAAAGTGCATGAAGCTGGATCTTGAGAGATGGGAGGCACCATTAGTCCTTAAGTACTGTGGACATTAAATGAGTGCTATAGGCATTGCCACTAGAGTTTCCAGCGTGCTGGAATCCCCTTCTGAAGGTGCAGGCAGGAAAGAAAACTGTTACACAGTTGGCTTGTATGCCCCACACCTGTCTCCTGCCACAATCTCACCCACCACCAATGCTGATGCTTTCTTCAGAGGGAAAGCAACATACAAGGGACTTAACGTGAACTCACGTTTTTGGTTAATGCCTTATGTGGTTTCTGTGTCTGGGGTGGGAGGGAGATCCCAAGTCTTTGAGCCTTTCATAGACCAGCGACCAGTGCCTAGTTCTTGGACTGAGGCGTCATAATCGAGAAGTTCTGTTGTGTCAGTTGGTAGTACGCCATTGTGAGGTTTCTGAGAATTCACAGCAGCACAGAACCACACCAAATGGATCTGAATCTGTGCTTACTGCAACCCAGAATGATCTTTGGAAGATACTGGGTCTTCAGAAGCACTGAGTTAGGCTGGACTTTAAAAGAACATGGGGTTCTAGCAGTTGGGCAAGAGAATGAAGAGACCTGTACATCATCTTCAACCACATCACATCTGATGCTTGGGGCATGGGAGCTGCATGCTTCACGACTGTTTCAATGGAGAGCAATGTAGCAAGTGACACACAACTTTTTTGCTATGCTAACCCAAGAATATAACAAGGCCAAGTCAGAGAATCCATCTCGGAGAATACAAGGGAAATCTGCCACAGCTTTTTTTATGGGGAATTGAGCTAGCTAAGCCCTTTCAACTCTGAGCCCCCTTCTTCTGCTTGTGCTTGTAATACCTTCCACAGGGAAGGTGGGTGTCAATTTATGTCAGGAGCTTTAAGGAACTGTCCTGTATAATTTGTGCACTGCCAGTGATGCATGTGTGGGAAGATAAAACACACACACAGGCAGTTACAGTGCCCCAAGGCATTGCTGGTCACAGCGAGAGAGAATAGGCAGGGGGACCCTGAGATAAGGAAATAAGAACGTACATTTCAATTTGTAGGAGTGTGCTGTTGACTCATTTCTTGCAGGCATTAAAAAGTGAGTCTCAAGACTGGATCAGAGTGGAATAAGGCAGGTTGTCTGGCAGTGCCCTAATGGGATGGAATGAGAAGTTACAGAACCGTAAATATTAACAGGCTGGGTGACACACTACAGTCGTGTTATTTACATGCCAAAGACAGGGCCAAGAGTCACAAGTTTTAGAAAAACTGGAGATAAAGATTTCATATAATTTGAAGGGCTGTTTTAATGGGAGTTAGTAGCTGCTAAGGGATTTAGATAAAAAATGGAGCTATGCTGAACCCCTTTTGTTTCAAGTGTCTGAATACAGTTGTTTCCTCAGTGTTTTTGCTTCCCTGATCACGTGTGTTTTTTCAGTGAAATAAAAAAGTAGAAATTGTAAAAACCGGCAGATCCAAGCCATTTACAACTTTGAGATCTTCCTTAATCCAACAACTTCCAATCCTGTTGCATTACGACTTTGGCAGGAGTCTTAGAGCTGCATCCGATTTGCACAATTGCACAGCAACTTGCATTAGCCTGTTAGACGCAGAGTGGCTGGAACACCAGGGGAACCGCAGCCGGCTCCACCTTTCTTCAGGCAAAACTTCCTGTCTCCTCACTATTGTGAAGCGGTAACAACCCCTGTAACGTAACGCCCCTGCTGGCATCACGCTGTCCAGGGCGGGTGATTCACTGGACAGTCACCTCACTGGGGTCACCTGGCCTCAGTTGTCTTTCCTGCCTGGTGCACGGGGCTGGACCCAATGGTCTTCCGAGGTTCCTTCCAGCCCCTTGCAATCTATGAATATATATTTTTGTAGCATGTGTCTAACAAAACAGATGCATCTCTGTTGGGAATTTCTGGCTTTCCTTGTGGCGACAACACTGGAGGCAATGAGGTAGACAGGGATTATGTTTCTGGGACCCTCTCATTTAACAAATGTTCAGAGCAATGTTAGACATCATGGTGCTTGAAACGCTCCCAGAAAGTTGACCTGTCTGTACCAGTGCTTTCAGGTGTGAGGCACTGGTGGAGGTGCACTGGCTTGGCAAAAAATACCTTAGTAAAGCCATAGCTCCCATGGACCGGAGAACGGCACTATACAGCGCGGCAAAGACACTGGAGTGCTGCCCCTGGGCAATGTCACGGGATGAAAGGTTGGGGATACTGGGTGTCACGGTGAGTGACGACATCGTGAGATGGTCGAGGAGCAAAGACACAAGCGCTGGACTAACGCCAGGACATCCTGATGATGCAAAGATGATGTGAAATTGCCTGCAAGTTCTCCACTCTGGTGCTGGGCCACGTCATGACCTCACCATGCAGCGGTGCCGTGGAGGCATGCACATGGCACATGTTGTGGACATGCTGAACGCAATGAGGCCACATGGATGTCATGAAAGAACCCGCACTACAGCTTCTTGGTCACAGGGCAGTGGGAGGTTACCAGCACGGCCACACCATCTGTGACGTGTTATGACGTCAGCGCCCCCATGGCCGCTGGTGACGTCAACCCCACATCATGGATGACAAGGAAACGCCATCCTCACTTTGCCCCCCCTACCCCCGAGGGACATCAGCGTGGCAGGTGACGTCACACGGGCGCTCGCGCCGATGACGTCGCGCTCCGAGCTGGCCTCCCTTCCCCCAGCCCGGCCCGGGAGAGGGGCGCGGGTTGGGGGTCGCCTCCTCCCCCTTCCCCTCATTTCCCATCATCCTCTGCGAGCACCCTGATGTCACTTCCTGTTCCTAAGCAGCGGGGGCCCTGGCCCGGCCACCCCGAGCGGGCCCTTACCTGGGCGGCCTCGCCCGGCCTCGGGTCCCAGCCGGGCGGCCCGTCAGGGGAGTCAGCGAGCGGCCTCCGCCATGGCTCCTTACATCTAGCCGGGGGCCCCGGCTGTAACAGCGCCTCTCGTTGGCTGGTGTCGGCACGTGACACCCGCAGGGGCTGCTGGGGGCTGTAGTCCGGGGTACTGCGAGACCGTCAGGGCACGAGGCGCAGGCGCGAAAGGGGCAGCTGCGAAGGCTGGAGCGGGGGTGTGGAGGGGGATGAAGGAGCAAGTGTGAAACTGGGAGAGCAGGGGCACAGGCTCCAGGTACTGCTCCTTAAGGTGGAGGCAAAGGGTGCTGCAAACCTTTCAGCTGATCGAGCCTTTCATCCCTGAATGTCCATGCAGAGCCAGCACCAAGATACATCTCCACCCCATAGCAGAGGAAGACCAGAAGCCCAATACGAACACCAGACAATCGATAGTGGGAGAAAGGATACCCGCTCCCTCTCCAGGACAACAGGCTCACAGGGGTTTCAATAACTCTGTTACCGATTTTACAAAGTAAAGTGACTGCTGCTCATCCTTGCCTGACCGTCAATGAACTGCCAAGTATCAAAGACATGTATTCCACCCCCCTGAATGCACTGCATGATGTAACTTCTTCCCAGCCAGGGAAGAAAACAGTGCTCCATTAGGCCTTCTCCAACAAGAAGTAATTTCAAAAGAAGGATGATCCCAATGTAAATCAAAATAAATATTAATTATTATCGTTATAATGAACACGCATCAACACAGAACAAGACCTACCTTGAAGAACAAGCAAGCTAAGTACCCTATGACCTCCCTTGCAGGCAGCAGGAAACAAACTCGCTCCCGGTTCCTGCAGTACTCCGGCAACATCACAGTGACAGTAAGAGAAATGACTGCATCTCACTGTGGCCAACAGGTCCAGCAAGTTCTGTTTAACAGCGATAGGAAGGACTACCAGTGAAGGAACTCTTTTCTCTTATTTTATTGATCAAATGGATGTTGTGGTAATACAAGAGGCTGCAAGATGCAAGTTCAGTTATTAATATACGGACTTAAAAATCAACAGTTCCAGAGTTAAAATTGTCCCTCTCTCATAAGGAGATCTTGAAGAAAACAAATCCAAATGAAATGTTAGAGGGCTAGTGCTACAAAAACAACGCAGGTTAGAAAAACCGATTTCATCCTTTCTATAATCCTACCCCTCCCTTTTCAAGGCAGCTGTCATTTTCATTAATGGGTATGCACACTAAGAAGCAAAAGTGAAGCAAGAATCATTTGAACTGATTCCTTTCACGCTAATTCTGCTTTACATCTTTTGGAATGTGAGAGAAGCAGGAAAAGGACAATGTTAACAGTGCTGACACTTCCAATCCACCTTACCTCCAAGTGCAAGACTCATGAGGCAGCACATCAAGAGTTATTTCACTCAGCAAGCTTAGTACTGACCAATATTTAATATAACAAGAAGCATTGTGCAACTTCCCCAAGGTGATTAGGCAATTTATAAAACCATTACAAAGGCCTATCCAAGAGAAAAGCTATAACATTGTGCCTTCACTTGTTTAAGAAATTGTCTAATTTCAGACCCGTCTCCACCGAAGCTTTTCAGGATTCTAAGCCCCAGGTCAAAAGAAAAGGTCAAATCTTCTGCATCTACAGAAGAAAATAGCCACAGTACATTAACTACTCACCCATTTCATTTTTGAGAGAGGCCAGCCCTTAGCTCTTCTCCAACAGTTTACATATGGGGCCAATTTCAAGGCAAGACAAGGTTACTCTGCAACTGCTAGCCCACTTTGAATGACTGAACCCCCCACCCTTTGCTTTTAAAGCAAGTCATGTGGTAATACATATACATTAATGACAGGAATCACAACACATTTTAAAGATTTAGATGAAGTTCATGCAGATAAAAGAGAGGTAAAAATACACATTATGCGTATATATATTTAAAAAAAAAATCTGTATTCAAATACAGCATTGCGCTAAATTTCAGAACCTACTCAGATTTGAATGCTCTTTGGGCAAAATACAATACAGCACAAGTGATCAACCAGTAAGTAAAAGAGGTGTTTGCGTAACCAAAGAGCCCTAACCTAGAATAATCCATAGAACCTAAACAAGCGTTTTGATATACTTTATTTTGAAAGAATGCATCATTTCTAAGCTGCGTTTGTTACATGCCCTGTGTGCAAGTTACAAGGAGGCAAAAAAGAAAAAAACTGTTTCCATGTAGAAAGAATTCATTTGTATTTACCTATCTTTAAAGCCAAGTTTTAAGAACAGCTGCATAGAATAGTTCTTCCAAGATCTACACATTTCCAGCCCGTCACACATTACAGGGTGTTTTCTACAAGAAGGTACAGGCCAGTGTATTTGCTCCATGCCTGCCTGCTTGCCTTCTCCTCCATCTCCCCCTTCCATTCGCTAATAAAACAAGTCACAATTTTCAAACAGCCCTCCAGTACTGGTAGCCTTACAAAATCATCCCTACCCCCTTTTTTGGAAGGGGAGAAGAGGAAGAGGAATGGAAGGCAGTACATGGTCTCCTGTCCCCGCCCAGCCCAACCCTCCTCAGCAGTATTACATTTATAGAAGACCCTGAAATACATTGTTGCCTGACAATATAGCAAAAGTTGAATCCCTTGATGCTTGGAGCTGCCCCTCTGCAATTAAAGCGCCATGAGAGAATTAAAAAAGAAAAGAAAACCAAAAACCCAACAAGAACAACAACAGAACTCTGGAAGCCAAAAGTGAATTGGGATAATAAATAACAGATCACACCATGAGAAATTTTTTGCTTTTTTGAAGGCTGGTCAAGAGGTAGGATAGAAAGGTTCTTTTTGGCCTCTGAACAATTAAAAATACTTCACTCAGCTGGTCCTTCAGGCTGTCTAGGAGCACTCCGTATACCCCATGCCTGATGCCTACACATACAATGCTACAGTTTTCACAGCTCTAATTGTACATGTTAAAAATCAAGTCAACTTACTCTAGTTGAGTAAAATTTACTAACAGTAAACAGCAAGACTGAATTGTTTTCTACATACAACCGCATCTTTTACAGTTTCTTAAAAACAAGGGCAGGTGACTTTGTATTCAAAGACTACCAAAATGTATATTTGATATTCACATGCAAAAACAAATTTTTTAAATCTTATGCATAAATCATGTCCAAGGACTCTGCATCCTACCTTTAAATAAGGAAACATACAAAGTTTGCTAACTTTTGTGCAAAATATTAATTTGCTAAAATATTTTACATGATAATCAAATACATGTAAATGTAGAAATTGACAGATAAAAAACAAGCTGGTTCATAGGAATTTGTCACATTTTAGTAATATTCATAACAGGATTTTGCATTTCCCAGTACACATCACAAAGTTTCACTGAAGATAAAAATCCTTTAGAACAAACCCAACAGGGATTTCTCTAGGCACCTTCTCACGTAGAACACAAATGTGATATAGTTAGAACCATCTGAGTGTTTTGCACAAAATTCTATACCAATCATCACATTTTCCCATTTAATGATAATTTAAGTAACTGTCATAAGGCAAAGACAACTGTTTGAAAAATGTCTAGATACAAAAACAATGTAAACTAATAATTTATATCTGAAAACCTTGGTATAACAAAAGTGGAGTGATGGACACTTTTTACAATAGGCTATTTTTAAAACAAGTTTGTGCAAAGGCTGAAGATGGCAAAGAACCTTCAGGCTCCACACAGTTTTGGCTTTTTTGTACAACTGCTTATAATACATTTTAAATCATTAGGAATGCAAACTAAAACTGCACGCTACTTCACTTCAGAGGAAAACAAGCTTGACATTGTGCAATTTTCTGCCCCAATTTAAAAGTGGCAGTAATCCCTGCATTTGTTGTGTTTCAAACAAGGATCTTAAGAAACACATATCAAAGGAGGAAAAGAAGGCAAAAGTTGGCAGACATCCAGCATCTAGTTTTTCCTGTGTTTTTTTTAAACAATGTGGATGACAGTTTCATGATTCAAAATTATTTTTTAAAATAAATACACTGTATCTGACATTTGCACTGACTTGATCTGATAAATCTTTAAGTAAACAAAGGCTTTAGGACACTCCTTGCAGCCTCAAGCCACTGGTGTTCGGTTCCAGAGTCCTTTGCTCTCTCACTGCGTTTCAAAACCTGCCATACGATATCCAGTTTGATTAGTTAGCACACTTCCATTCTGCCCTTGAGGTGGTTGAACTCCATAATTTGCACCCATCCATGCTGCAGAAGACTGCGGCTGGCTGTTGGGGGAAAACAGACAGTTGATGTCATTTTATGGTAGATAGAAAATGCATACAAAAAACCCTAGAGGGTAAAAACTAACACTATGATCTTAGCCAGTAACAACAGCATCTTGTAAACTGAACCCAAGTACCTAAACTAGTGGTTCTCAACCTGTTTAGAATCAAGGCACCCTTCATTAGACTCCACACACCCCTCTGAAAATGCTAGCTCTTTGTTTTTTTTCTGTTTTTGGAACCTTGAAAAAGAGCAACTGTTCTGTTACAAACACTCAAGTGCAGTACATGGGCTTTAAAGCGATTTTTTTCATGTCCAGTTTCTACCATCTCAGAGTATGAACACATATACATACAAATCTTTCACCTACCAGTGAGAAGTAACAGCACCCCTCTGAAAGAACCATTTACCTAATTAAAAATTCAATAAAATTTTGAGAAGGCCTTGCAAGCTTACAGCTAGAATAAATGCAGGAACCAACATCCTTACCATGAGTCCAACTGCAGCTTTAGGTGAAGCAGACTAGGTAAGCTATTTCACTACACAGATTTACATTAGTTTTCAGTAAATAAAACTGGCATTAATACCCCCATTCTGTTAAAAGGTACCTCTGGCATTTTTGCAGAGATAATAAATGTTCTCTGTCTTGGGAACAGTTCAACTCTGGTAATTTATTCCATCTAAAAATGTCCCTTTATTTTTAAATAAGTAGTGGGCTTGACCATCTTACCAAGGTAGAAGTCCCTTGGACAACAATGGTTTTCCAGAATGCTTTATCATGTTCCTGTTAAAGCATGATCACTCTCGATTATTTACTAATGGCTCTCAACCTTGCTAGACTCAAGGCATCCTTTGCTAAAATCAAGACACTCCTTGTTAGGCTCAAAGCACCTCTTGGAAAACACCCACTCTTTGTTTTTACTCAAGTTTTGGACTACAGAAAAATGACTGAACAAGTCTTCTGTTGCAAAGAACTCAGTAAGACCACAACAGGTCAGAATGTTTTTAACCCTAATGTTCCTATTTGAAATATTTGGGTTTATACTGTTAATCATGTTTGCACACCCCACAGCACCTCTGTAAAGATCTTGAGGGTCTAGCCCCCCCTGGATGCTTGGCACCCTGGTTGAGAATGACTTAAGGCATGTGGACTAGATAGGAAGTATCCTCACTTAAATCC